CCACCACGGCGCAGAGGCGGCCCTGACGGCCCAGAGGAATAACCACCCGAGGCTCTACAACCAACCTCCCATACCAGGTAACTGGGGCCACCCCCTAGACAGACCCGAGCCTCTAGGGGGACACCAAACAACTGCCGCTAGCACACAGCAGCGCCTGCCTATCTACGCCCGGCCCTCAACGATCTTTGCCCTGGGTATGCTGCGACCTGGGGAGCCGGGACGCTGCCCAATGAAACAGGGTCACACTTCACTCTGTAAAGGCCCCTTGGGACTTGGGAGGGTGCCCTGGGTGAGATGTCGGGGGACACTAGTCACGCAGGGAGCCCATGAGAAGGGGATGTTCGAACACTCGGGGCGGGCCATGGAGAAATGGACTGTTTGGGAGGGAGGTATGGGCCACAAGTTTTAGAAAAAGCGGGCAAGTATTACTGCCATTTTTTAGTGAGGTAGCTCACGCATAAGCTACGATAACTGAAATTGCCCGCAAGGATACTGTGTTCAAGTTATATTGCTCTTGTATTTGTTAAGGATACACATGTTAGGCTACGGTTTTACCCCTGGCTAAGATTGCAATGTTAATTTATGCTGTATGACTCTTTCCTCAGACTGCAGACGTATCTCACCAACACATAACTGAGTTAACCCCTAAGAACCCACGCCTACCACCCCCCACCACTGACCGGCCAGACATGATACGCAAAAATGCGCCCATGCACACCAGACTAGCTCGGGCCCGCCCCCCACCCTCCCCCAAGTGCCCCAGGACCCGCGGATGTTATAAGAGCCACATAACACGGCGGGTTGGGAGCCCCCGGGACACAGGCATTGACAACCTATATTTTTGAAGAACAGACTCGGTAGGTTACCCTCCACGCGCCTCGCGCAACTGACCTCCCCTGTACATAGGACCGGAGTTCGACGAGACTTCCTGACACTACAGTCTCCTGGACGCCACCAACCGGTTAAGGTTCAAACGTTGCATTGACCCCCCCTCATCCCCCTGAAACTACTCACCACCCCATAGAACCCATCCCTTCGACCGACTAAACCACGAGGGCCAAGATGGGGTTCAGCCCAGCCCTACTCACATATTGGTCCAACAACACTAGGGGCCTTAACCAGCCAGAGAAGCGCTCTCACCTACTCCGCCGTCTCTGGGCGGAGAGAGTGTCCGTAGCGTTCCTGCAGGAGACGCACTTTCGGGGCCCAGACGCACCTAAATTAGAAAACAAACGCTTCAGTCTGGCTTACTACGCCAACCACCCGGATGCCAAGAGAGCAGGTGTAGCGATACTCTTTGCACACACTGTACCCTTCAAACATATTGCATCCCACACAGACCCTGGAGGGAGATATCTATTTGTCAAGGGCACGATAGCCGACCACACATACACATTCGCTAGCATATACTGCCCCAACCGCGGCCAACACACCTTTCTCTCCCGCACCCTAACCAAACTGAACAAATTTAGAGAGGGTCTCCTGATGGTAGCAGGGGACCTGAATATGCCACTAGACCCACACCTGGATACATCCCACGGAACTAGCACAATATCACCACACTGCGTACGGTCTGCCACCAAGGCACTGAACAGACTGGGCCTTGTAGATTGTTGGAGGACCGCACACCCAGATGACAGGGATTACACACACTTTTCCCATGTCCACCACCGCTACAGCCGCATTGACTACATATTCATGCCCCAAGAATACCTTCCCCTACTACATGACGCACATATTGGCCTCATGACCCACTCCGACCATGCTCCGGTTAAAGTTCGCACAGGCTCACCCCTCTATAAACCGAGGAACAGACAGTGGAAGCTCAATGAAACTTTGCTGAACGACCCGGTTTCCCGCGCATCCGCACTTCAGACGATCACACAATATTTTGACACAAATGACGACCCGGACACACCCCCCCTGACGATCTGGGAAGCACATAAATGTGTACTGAGAGGCCACTACATTGCCGTCTGCACTCAGCGCAAAAAAGACAGACTCAAGCGCATCAATACCCTCACATCCAAGGTAACCACCTTGGAAGCCACACACAAACAAACACTAGACGACAACACTTACCTTCAACTGACCGAAGCTCGGAGAGAACTTAGGGACCACCTCTCTCAGGGGCTGTTACATACCCTGGCCAAATCGGCCAGGTACTTCTATGAACACTCCAACAAAAGCGGTCGCCTACTGGCAAAAATGCTCCAGGCACGACGGAGGGCGCAACATATTCACAAGATAAACACGCGAGATCAGGGTAGCACTAGACACCCAGAAGGCATTCTAGACGCATTTCAGGCCTATTACAAAGACCTATACAACCAGACACTGACCACGCACGGGACAGCACAACAGACACACCAACGGAGGATCTCAGACTACCTAGCCCAACACATAACCAAAACGCTCTCCCAGGAACAATCAGAGGACCTGGAGCAACCCCTAACGCTCGAGGAACTCAAGGGAGCCCTGAAAAGCATGAAACCCCACAGAGCACCTGGCCCAGACGGACTGCCACTCTCCTACCTCCGCACTTTCAGCGACATCCTACTGCCTAGGCTACTGGAAGGACTAAACTCGATCCGCGAGGGCGGACGATTCCCGACAGATACCCTAGCCGCCACAATCACAATAATCCCCAAAGAGGGTAAGGACCCGACTAATTGCTCGAGCTATCGCCCGATTTCGCTCCTAAATTCGGACCTTAAGCTCTTTGCCAAGGCCCTGGCCCGAAGGATCTCTCCGATCCTACCAGACCTTATCCACCCCGATCAAGTCGGGTTTATACCGGGCAGGGAAGCCAGAGACGACACGATACGTGCACTCAACGTCATCCACATAGCAAAAACCAGGAAACGCGAGACTGTACTGCTCTCGACGGACGCCGAAAAGGCGTTTGACCGAGTAGACTGGACATACCTCACATCCACCCTTCACCACCTACGTTTCGGTCCCCAGCTATGCAACTGGGTGTCAGCACTGTATACGACGCCGACGGCGCGGATCCGCATTAACGGAACCCTCACGCAAGCTTTCCCCATCAGCAATGGCACACGCCAAGGCTGCCCCCTGTCCCCCCTCCTGTTTGCCCTCTCTCTAGAACCATTTCTGGAGGCGGTCAGACAGGACGGGGGCATTACGGGGGTGACACTGGACGCAGAGGTACATAAGGTGGCAGCGTACGCGGACGACATGCTGTTCTTCCTAGAACAACCCCTCATCTCCATCCCTAATCTCCTCCAGGCGTTCCGCGACTACCGCCAAGTCTCCAATTTGAAATTAAATCTAGACAAATCTGAAGCCCTGCCCTTACTAGACGACGCCGGGTTGGCTGAACGCCTGAACGCAAAGTTTGCCTTCGCGTGGCGAACGGTCAAGCTGAAGTACCTAGGCATTTGGCTGCCACGTGACCTCTCGCAACTTTATCAACTGAATTTCCCTCCCCTCCTCGCGAACATCCAAAAGGATCTCCTCAGATGGTCCCCGCAATACCTCACCTGGTTCGGCCGCATACAAGCGTTGAAGATGAACGTCCTCCCCAGACTCCTGTACCTATTCGCGACGCTGCCTACCACAATCCCACAATCCTTCTTCCGCACCCTGTCACGGGAAATTCGAAGCTTCGTATGGAACCGCTCGGTGTCCCGCATACGTAGGACCACACTGGAACGGCCAAAGGTTGCGGGGGGAGCTGGGCTCCCCTCAGTGCAGCGATACTACCAGGCCACACACCTGCAGAGGCTAGTTGACTGGCATGCACGCCCAAGCACCAAACGATGGGTGCTCATGGAGACCCAGCAGTCGCAGGGCGCAATCCCGGCCCGAATCTGGCTTGGATCGGCCACTCACGCGGAACTCCGAACACAAAACCCACTCATTGATGCCACCCTAGGAGTCTGGTGTAGGCTGCGCTTTTCCCACCAACTCACCACATCACCTAACCCACTCACCCCGATCGCTTACAACCCGAATCTTGCGGGAGGCCTCCCCCCCGCGGCCTTTCGGAACTTCCTCCAGACGGACTGGATCTACTTACACCAATGGATCATTGGCAGGACCCTCAAGCCATTGCCCGACGTCATCACTACCCAGCAACCGACCCCGCTTGATAGGTTCCGCTTCCACCAGGTTAAAACCTACTACACGACCCTACAGGGCAAAGACCACATCCACAGACAACTGACTGACTTCGAACGGCTATGCACAGACAGGAAACATATAGAACATGCGATATCATACCTCTACACAAGCCTACAGTCACTGAGCAATGACAGCCCACTCGGGTTTACAGAAAAATGGGAACGCGAGACGGGTACACACTTGACTACCCAAGAATGGGAGAAAATCTTTCTATTGACACACAAATGCTCCATAAGCTCCAAATACCAAGAGATGAGCTATAAATTACTCACACAATGGTATAGGACCCCGGAGGTACTAAAACATATGCACGACACAGCCTCTGGGGAATGCTGGAGATGTAATTCCGCCCCTGGCTCCAATCTCCATATATGGTGGTCATGCCCCCGCATAGTCCCGTTCTGGAAACTGATACACACAAAGATTAAGGAAATCACAGACTCTGACCTCCCACTACAACCACTGCCAATGCTACTCCACCACACAGCCACCTCTACACAACAATACAAGAAATCCCTTACGATACACCTGCTCTCCGCCGCTAAAAGCCTCATTCCACTACATTGGAAAAGCCGCACAGTACCCACCTACACACAGTGGGTGGATAGGGTGGAGGAAATCCACAATATGGAAATGATGACTGCGTCCCTGCGGGAACGCTCGGACAAATGTGCCCTCCTCTGGTACCCCTGGACTACCTACACGGCACAGAGACGGACTTGACCCCCAAACTCGCTCCTCCAAGCGAATCCTGATATACCCACAATTAATCCCACCCTGACACCACTGTTAGACCCTAGACCTCCTACTCAGACTCCCTCCCTCCCCCCTTCTCCCCTTGGCAATACAGTGCCAAGACCAGACATCACCAGAACCTCGAATGCCCATTAGACTGAGCACTCAAAAATCGATCACATACGTAGCTTTCGCCCTCCCCCCCTAAGCAAGACGTCAACACACCAAAAATAATGGAGTATAACCGCAAGTCCCTGAATAACATAAAACCGCCTAAATTTCAAAGGGCACACCTGCGCAGCGCTCTATGCCCCCGACTGAGAAACTCCCTGGCGGACACGCCGCAAGTTAAAAATACACTGACC